CCTGTTCCATCTTCCCCATCCCTGCCCTGTCCCTCCAATCCCCCCTCGGGGACACGGAATGGGAATGGGAATAGGAATGGGAATGGGATGGAGAAAGGGACAGGGGAAAGGGACAGAGAATGGGATGGGGGACAAAGGACAAGGGCCAGGGAATGGGACAAGGGCCAGGGAATGGGACAAGGGCCAGGGAATGGGACAAGGGCCAGGGCCAGCAGTGCCAGTCCCCAGTTCTGCCCCCTCACCGTGTCCGCCGGAGCTCAGCGAGTCCATGCTCTTGGCTGGGCGCAGTGGGACCTTCCCCCCCTTCTCCTCTGGCACCACAAGGGACACGAGGTGGGATTTGGGGACACAAACTGCCCCTCCCCCCCCAGGCCATCCCCGGAATTCCCACCTTTCTCCTCGACCTTTCCCTGCTTCCGCTTGGCCTCGTGGCCGGAGCGGCCCAGGTTGAAGATGGATCTCCACTTCTTGGCCTTCAGGGAGCCCTTTCTCCTGTAGGGGCACACCTGGGCACACCTGGGCACACCTGGGTGCACCTGGGGGCAACTAGGGCACCTGGGGGCACCTGGGCACACCTGGGGGCACCTGGACACACCTGGGGGCACACCTGGGCATACCCACAGGTGCCTTCCCACGCCTGGGATCCCACCCTTTCCATGTCCCAGGATCGTGCCCAGGTGGGATCACTTGTGCCGTGCCCACCTCAGGGGGGAGGAGGGGTGTCCCCGGGTGTCCCGAGGACGGGGAGGGGGTGTCACCTGTGCCCCCCAATCCCCCCCCAGGGCATACCTGTGCTCGCCCAGGTCGATGATGGTGTGGTAGGGCCGGATCTGGGGGGGTCCATCCCCCTGGCTCAGTGTCCCTGGCACGTGGAGCTGGGGGGGCTTCTCGGCCCCCAGAGACCCCCCGGGCACGAGCAGGGACCGGTGGGGTGACTCTGACCCTGGGGACCACTGAGGGGGTCAGGGTCACCCCGGAACCCCCAGTGTCGCCCCCACCCAAAGCAGGGATGGGTGGGGGGATTCTCCCCCTTGGGACCCCCAGGGCAGGCTGTGGGTGTCCCCCCATGTCCCCCAGTGTCCCCCCCCGGGGGTACCTGCGAGGGGGGCGTCCCCAAAGAGCTGCTCCACGTGGGTGAGGATGAACTCGACCACGATGGACTGGACACGAACCTCCATGAATGCGGCTGTGCCATTGAACCCCGAGGCCTCGATGTCCTTCGAGCTGGGGAGGCAGGGGGGAGCCCCCGGGGTCACCTCAGCGAGGAGGATACACGAGGGGACACGGGGGATGGTGGGAATGGGGACACTGGGGACAGGGGAATGGGATCAGGGAAGTGGCAGGGACAGGGACAGCGGGGACACTGCGGGTTTTGGGGACGGTGGGACGGGAGCGGGGGGGGTGTTGGGCACGGGGAGATGGGATCAAGGGGACTTGGAGGACGTCACCGCCGTGTCCCCTCACCGCAGCAGGTTGGGAGCCCACACGATGGCCAAATTCCGCGCGTGCATGTTGGTGCGGCCACTGTGCCCTGCCATGCGCAGCAGGTGCCGCATCAGGAACTCCAGCGTCCTGGGGACACAGGGACAGCTCAGGGGACAGCTTCCCCCGTGGGGGGACACTGCCAGGGACAGCGCGGGGGGACACCATCAGGGACTGCCATCCCCCTTGGGGACATGGGGACAGCAACAGGGAGCGAGGGGACCCCTGTGTCACCTGTAGTGGGGCTCCGGCAGCTCCTTGAGCACCTCCCTGATCTTGACAAGCCGCGCCTCCTCCGTCTGGGTGGCCACGGCATCCTGGAGGGGCACAGCGGGGCTTGGGGACACTTGGGGACGCTTTGGGGACACTCAGGGGACACTCAGGGGACGCTCGGGGGTGGCACTCACGGCGAACTTGTCATAGAGCTGGTAGGTGAGGAGGGGGTTGGGCAGCTCCCGGCAATAGGCCTTGGCCAGGGAGCTCACACAGTGCACGTCCTGCAGGTAAATGTCCCGAGCCAGCTCCGGGACCCCCCCGGCCTCGAACTCCTGCCTGGAAACGGGACAGGGGAGCTTTGGGATACAGGGGGGGTGTGGGATATAGGGGATATGACCCGGGCCAGCTCCGGGACACCCTTGGTCTTAAACTCCTGATGGGGATCGGGATATGGAATATAGGGGATATGTCCTGGGCCAGCTGGGAATGGGACCCATACTCCCATCCCGGACACCCATTCCTGCCCATCCCTGAAATCCATCCCTCCACCTCGGACTCACATCCCATCCCATCCCGTCCCATCCCATCCCATCCCATCCCATCCCA